GATTAAAATCGAATTTTTTACGAATTTCTGAAGTTGCTCAAAAAACCATGTCCATGCATCATGTACTATTGTAGTGCTTGTCAGCTGATGAAGCATATTATATAGCTCACTTAGCATACACCCTCTTATAAATGTCCGGTCCTCTTTACTCATCTCTCTCTCCCTTCTAGGATATATTCAGAGGACTGGTGACCGTGAGGAAAGATGATGATGATGATGATGATGATAGGAGGGACAGTAGAGGGGAGAACACAAGTACCAGACTAATGTCAATGGTAGATGAAGACACACAGTTCCTGGACTCAGAAGGGTTAGGATTATATTAATAATAATAATATTACATTCTACTCTCTCTCTCTCTCTCTCTCTCTCTCTCTCTCTCTCTCTCTCTCTCTCTCTCTCTCTCTCTCTCTCTCTCTCTCTCTCTCTCTCTCTCTTTCTCTAGATTTTTATGTGCTAAGAGGCAGCCTGAAGCTAAGTTGTCTTCATTTTCAGCCATTACCAGTATTATGAATAAGGACAGAGGAGGGAAGGGGACAGCTGGAGATCCTTCCTTCAGTCAGATTGAAGCAATGTGCTCGGGATCCTTTACTAAAGGACTGGATGGTCCTGAAGGTACTCAGTGTAGCTTCAGTGACGTGGTCGGACTTTGCTCTGGGGTTTTTCCCTCTGCCCCCTCAACTACACAGATTGCAATGGCAACGAGCAGTGAAGACGAACAAGATGACATAATGCCGACTTTGAAACGAAAATCAAAGTCCAAACAACCAGATCAAAGGTACGCGTCATTGTGTCAAAATGTTACCATACCTGCTTTATGATTCTATCTAATTTTAGTGAAAGATTAAAAGATTTTGTCGAGAGTGAGGCAGAGTTATCCGGAACTGATATAGCATCGGATGATGACGAGGAAGAAATGGGTGGAGACTCGTACGAGGAGGAGGAAGGGGCGGGGTCAGACGTGCCCCTATCAGAGGGAGAGTTATGGGATCAAGTAAATAAAGTTCACATGTAAGTATCACATTTATAAGCGTACTGTGTCTTTAACATCACATTGACTTACATTCTCCTGTGTAGGAAGCAGTTAGCTGATGATGATAAAGCTGATTTAAGAAACATCAAAGACAGATTCTTATTAGGTACATGTATAATTAAATAAAAAGTATATTTTTAATGATAATAATAATTTTCCACACACAGAGGGTGATTTGTGTGAAGATGGTCTTTATCTCAAGAATGGGTTCTTTAGGTCGCGTCGTTTTGCTTCAAAGAGAACCGGCTCCGAAACCTCGCTTGACATGTTTTTAGAGACAGAGAGAGATTTTGAGTTAGGAGAAGGAGAAGAAGGTGATGACGACTCTCAAATTGAAGCAAAGAAGAGAAGAGATAGACTGGAGAGAGACGAATTTATTAGAAGAAGCCAAGTAAGGGAGATAGAGAAATCAAAAGCTAGTTGGAATTGGCTCAAGCAGTCATTTGCCTTTATACATCTGATCTATAATGATGTCAATATTTACAATGGAAATATAGAAATTTTGAGTGAATTCTGATTATTAGCTTTCGGAAAAAATAACATTTTAGTCAGTTGTTATTATATCATCTGTAGGCTAGATCAGATCTGCTAACATTCGATGACAACAGTCAGTCAATTTTAAATCTAATCAACGATAACTCGTCATTGGCTGTGCCACAAAGTATGAATGACTGTTATTTTATTTTATCAACTCCTTTCTCTTTCACTTCAGCTCCTGAAGTCAAAACTGCTGTAGAACCATTATCACTATCAGCTAAAGTAAGTCAACTGTCACCATTAATCCTTTGATCACACTGTATCTCTCTCTCTCTCTCAGAGGTCAAGGTGTGGCTCATTTCTTAAGCACACTCCTTCAACTCTTCAAAGATTATCGTCCTACACTAATACTACACCAGCTGCTACTGGCGGACGCTCTTTTGTCTTCAGGAGTGGAGTGACAGCTGGAACACCTTCATCTACCAAAGTAATCATTTTTTGAATTATTTTTTTGTATTTTATGTCCTCTTTTTAATAGTCTAATGGTCAAAAAAGACCCAAATTACTCAAATCAATTTCTTTGCCACACGAAGATCGTGGGCCTGGAAGCAACAGTAATAGCATATTCGATGAACTTTAATCCTCAATCATTATTAATAGCTTTTATTTATTGTCATGAATGCTGCACTGGCATGACCGAAATTTATTATCATTGTTATTATTATTATTATTATTAGCAAAAAAATCATGGCAAAATCATAATGAAAAACATGATCAAAAAAGC